CTGTGAGTGAGAGAGACAGAGAAAGAGAAAGAGAGAGCACCCTCAGCAGGATCCTAACGCCACAGCGCACCACCAACTACCCAGCCCGTGTGTACACATGTGCCTGACGTGCCCCATCACAACTCAATTTTAACACATAAATTTGCCTGAGTGCCTCATATACGGACCAGTAACCTTCCCACATGGGTCTGCCTTGAAGAACATAGTATTCCACCACTGCACCACTGTCCGGCCCCTGAACACAGATATTTTCATTCCAAAACCTGGCTGACCCCACAAGCCTTATATTTTCTTTCTGCCTTGAACCCTCAACGCCCCCTACTTAGAACAGCATTAGGCAGTTAGGGGACCCTGGAAGTCGACCCTGTCTGTCGGAGCACCAGTGGTGCAATGGGGTGCAGGTGGGGTAGGGGCAGAACAAGGAGGATGAAGACGGGCCTGGTGGAGTGCTCTGAGAACAGAGGAAGGAAGGAAGGCATGAGAAATGGAAGGGTCAGAGGAGAGGGCTGGCCAGCTGGACTTCTGGGGTCCTCGGGGAGAGCAGGTCCACGTTGTAAAACCACACTTCTCCAGATCATTGGAGGACAAGCTAGAATAGAAAGCTTGGTCTGCAGTCAGCGGGAGAGGGTAGACACCGGAAAGAAACTCCCCACAGTTTGACCAAGGCAATGGATGGGCTGGTGAGAGGGCAGGGAATGGGGCCATTTCCTGGAGCTGATGAAGGGATGAGGTGCTGCACAGCCCCAGGGCTGGGTGCTGGATTGCATGTTCGCATCAGTGTAATGATTCAGAGATACCGAGAGGAAGAGACAAACCTCAGAAGACTCGGGAAAACAGGACAGAGGTGAGAATACAACACATTTCTGCAAATGCAAGCTTGTGGCAGAGACAAAGGACTAATGACAACCTTCCTGCAAACGCAGGCCCCACCTCTGCTTCTCCTAAGGAAGAGGGACGTTTGGTTACCGTAATGCGTAGAGTGGTGGAAAGAGGAAAAAGTCTTAGATAGCTACACAGGAGGGCCTGGGGTAGACAGGAAGAAAGGTGAGAAAAAAGACAGGGGCAGGGACCAGAGCAGCATGACAAAGGTGGGTTTGGTTTTGTTTCAAGTCATAGAAAGGAACAATTTGGGAGAATCCGTCATGTTCTGTGAGACAGAGGACAGAAGTGGCATGATAAAATTTCCTTTTTATTTTTAAATTTGCTATAGGGAGCACGCACTCACCAGAGAGAGAGAAAGATAAATCACCCCCCAGGGAGGTTGGCTACTCTGCAGTCTCTTTTCTTCCATTCTCTTCTTGGTATTTTGGGGGCACACGCACATGGGCCCAGCTTGTTTTTCAAGCCACAGGGTCTGAGACTCGAACCACGCAGTGGGTCATGTGGTACAAAGCTGCCTTATCCTTCGAGCTACCTCCCGGCCTCGAGTAAGGAAATTTCTAAGGAATTTACTGAGTGTGGTACACTCTAAACTCCCCATTCACCACCAGCGCCTCAATAAAACCTTCAGTAAGGGTGGAGTTTACTCTTCAGAATCCCCAAGACTGTATTTCTTTTTCAATGAATCTGAGGCGAGCCTCGAGGTGTGAGCATAAGGGCTCAGTCAGGTGTGTTGGGTTACATATGCACACGAATATACCCACTTATTCCAACCCAGTACGAGGCTTGCTTATAAATACCTTGTCATTGGGACCAGCAGCTGGTGCAATGGCTATGTCGCTGGATTCCCATGTAGTCAACAGCAGTTCAAGTCCCGGACATGGTGGTTTTAAACTCATGCCGGGAGTGTGTGTGTGTGTGCCCAAGATACTGAGAGGACAATGGAGGAGAAGGGATTGGGGCATGGCTATCCCCCCTGGTGGGTGGTGAGCACACGTACCCTATAGCAAAAACCTCTCCAAAAAAACCAAACAGCTCTGCTAGAGTAACTTACAGAAGCACATTTCTGCATGTGTCTAAAGGTCATATGTTTTCAAACTGGCTGCTCTCTGCACAGGACCTGGCGGACCTATAGTGAGTCATCTGAATCCCCACAACTAACATTTTGGGCTTTTCCACTTCTAGTGCTACACCTCTACTGAGGTAGACACCGGGTCTTCAAAAAGTTTCTAATGTGCGTATTATAAAGAAGTGATGTGGAGACCAGCAGTTAGCGTAATGGCTATGTCGCTGGACTCCCATGTAGTTGACTGCGGTTTGCGTCCTGGACCTGGTGGCTTAAGATTCACGCCGGGCGTGTGTGCGTGCGTGCCCAAGATCAAGAGGAGAATGGAGGAGAGGGGATTGGGGCGTGGCCATTCCCCCTGGGGAGCGATTTCTTGCTTTCTGTCTCTGTATTTCTGGCAAGTGCACGTGCCCTACAGCAAAAACCTCTCCAAAAAAAAAAAAAAAAAGTGATGCTTGAATTTCAAAAGTTTTTCCCACCAAAATAAACGTGTACTTTAATTCCATTTCTCTATGAACCGTTTGAAGTCCCCACGAATGTGTGTGTATAATACTCTGTGAGGAGCAGACACTGAACAATAAGCCACAGAGAGCCACGGGCCCTGCTCCACCGTCACCTACTCAGACGTGTGCTTCTAGGGTCCTGGAGGTATATACGCTGAGGTAAAAAAAAATGGAGTGAGGAAGTGCTGCCTCTTCCTCTTCTCGGTGCTCTGACGGAATCCACAGACACGCAGGGTTTCTCATTATTACAGCCACAAGGCCTCATCATGGATCTGAGATGCTTCCTGAAGGTCATGATGGCGACAGAGCGGAGATGGCTTCCCTCGTCACTCACACCCGTACACGCACTCCAGCTCCCACTGCCTCTCTCCGTACTCCCCAGATATGCCTTCCTGCCTCTCTTCTTAGCTCACAAGCTACTCTTCCG